GCGATACATTTATCTCTTGGATTGCGGTTGGATGTCGAATGAGAAATCTTGCATGTTATAACAAAGGTATATATCGGAATAGCAAAACTAGCAAGTAGAATAAGAAATGTTGGAAGTCGAATATGAAAACTAAGCATTTATATCTTCAAAGTTGTATGTCAAAAAAACATATTAATATGAATAATTCGAAGATAAAACTATGTGCKAGTGTGCGCATGCACAGTGGGCCCCCACGGCGTCTACAAGTGATAGAAATGTATCCCACATGGAACATCAGCATTTCGTTTCCTCATATAAATATCAAAGTAATCTATATGGTATAACAGCTTTGTGCTTGTTAGTGTCGTGTAACATTCGTAATCGGATGACGTAAGACGATCGACAAACGTTTAATTATCGATCTGCTAACATCTTAGTGATTGAGTGAGTGACACATTTGCATATTCAGACCCCTCACAATAACTCGTTTCTACGCTTCGCGTATCCACGAGTTAAAAAGGGACCCCATATTATATGGGCAGTTGAAGTAGGGGGTACCACATACTGCCTCGATCTGAACACACGAAAAAAAAAACAACCTTTATTTGTAGAATTGAGTATGTCATATATATTGTCAAAAATGTTATTTATCAAACTTCTTACCAGATAGTGTTTCCATATCGTCATGGATTTGACCCAAATCAACAAACCCAACAAGTCGATGTTTGCCATTTTTAACAACCATTTCCACATTTTCCTGTATTAGAAAAATGTTTGTAATCACTCTCTATGGCATACACATATTGTTTTTATGATTATTAAAAAAATTTCAATTACAATATTTTCTAGTTTAAAAACAGTAAAGAAACACATTTGTATGACAGTGTTAAATACATACCTGTATTTTCATTTCGTCTAACACAAATCCACCCCAATAGTCATGCTTTTTCAGATTGTGTGTTTGTGCTTCTTTCAAACACCACCAGAGTAACATGTCTCTATTCCAACCAGGCCTTTGATCTGTTTTGTTTTTGTGATAGCTGAATAAAATTTAATAAAATTAGAACTTTCCTGTTTTATTTCTACAATATTATTTTAATCTGTGATATGATCTTTGAACCAACAACATTYAACATACTATTTATCGATCAGTATAGTTGTCAGTATAGTTATTATCTATATTAACCACACTGCGGGATATTAAACTACAGGCATATATGGGTTTAAGGGACAGAAAATGAAGATAATTATAATAGCTTACCGGATAGTTCGATTGCTAGGAAGGTACAAGATCTTCCTTAGAGGGTCCAAAACATGAGGATTCTTGCTATATAACTCTATGCAGAGCTTGATGATCCTA